TCAGTGACAAATCCTCTGAGAAGGAAATGAGGAAAACTAAGCCATTCACAATATCCTCAAGAAAAATAAGATACTTGGGAATCAACTTAACAAAAGAGTTGAAGGATCTATACAATGAAAACTACAGAACCCTAAAGAGAGAAATCAAAGAAGACCTTAGAAGATGGAAAGATCTACCTTGTTCATGGATAGGCAAAATTAATATTATCAAAATGACCATACTACCAAAAGCACTATAGCGGTTCAATGCAATTCTGATCAAAATCCCAATTGCATTCCTCATAGAAATAGAAAAAGAAATCATGAAATTCATCTGGAAAAATAAGAGACCCAGAATAGCTAAAGCAATTCTAAGCAAAAAGAGTGAAACAAGTGGTCTCTCTATACCAGTCCTTAAACTATACCTCAGAGCAATAGTAACAAAAACAGCATGGTACTGGCACCAAAACAGGCTGGTAGATCAATAGTACATAATAGAGGACACAGAGACTAACCCACAAAATCACAACTGTCTTATATTTGACAAAGGTGCCAAAAACATACACTGGAGAAAGGATAGCATCTTCAACAAATGGTGCTGGGAAACTGAAATCCATATGTAACAAAATGAAATTGAATCCCTATCTCTCACCATGCACAAAAGTTAACTCAAAATAGATCAAGGATCTAGGAATTAAACCAGAGACTCTGCATCTAATAGAAGAAAAAGTAGGCCCTAATCTCCATCATGTGGGATTATGCCCCAACTTCCTTAATAAGACTCCTTTGGTACAAGAATTAAAATCAAGAATCAATAAATGGGATGGACTCAAATTGAAAAGTTTCTTCTCAGCAAAAGAAACAATGTGTGAGGTGAATAGAAAGCCTACATATTGGGAGCAAATTTTTACCCCTCACACATCAGATAGAGTACTAATCTCTAGGGTATATAAAGAACTCAACAAGCTAAGCACCAAAAATATAAATAATCCAATCAATAAATGGGCCAAGGACCTGAAGAGACACTTCTCAGAAGAGGATACACATCAATCAACAAATATATGAAAAAATGCTCATCATCTCTAGCAATCAGAGAAATGCAAATGAAAACTACTTCCAGATATCATCTCACTCCAGTCAGAATGGCAGCTATTATGAAGACAACAACAAGTGCTGGTGAGGATGTGGGGGGAAAAAGGTTCACTCATACATTGCTGATGGGACTGCAAATTGGTGCACCAATATGGAAAGCAGTATGGAGATTCCTTGGAAATCTGGGAAGGCAACCACCATTTGACCCAGCTATTCCTCTTCTCAGACTATATTCAAAGGACCTAAAAACAGCATACTACAGGGACACAGTCTCATCTATGTTAATAGCAGCACAATTCACAATAGCTAAACTGTGGAGCCAACCTAGATGTCCCTCAGTGAATGAATGGATAAAAAAAAAATGTGGCATTGATACACAATGGCATATTATTCAGCACTAAGAAAGAACAAAATCATGGCATTTGCACATAAATGGATGGCGTTAGAGAAAATAATGCTAAGTGAAGATAATGCTAAATAAACAAATGCCGGATATTTTCTCTGCTACAAACGGGGTGACTCAAAGTGGGGTAGGGAGGGAGAGCATAGAAGGAAGGTTATTTCTAGATAGGGAAGAGGAGTGGCAGGGAAAGGGAGGGGGAAGGGGATTAGCAAGGATGGTGAAATGTGGTGGTCATCATTATACAACATACATGTTTGAAGATTTGAATTTGGTGTCAACATACTGTAAAGGTCCAGCGAAACGTTGGAGTAAGAGACCACAAGAGACTGTCTTATGTAAAAGCAGAAGGGTGGGTTTATTTGGAGACCAGCATGCTGGGGCCCGAGCTCTCTATAGCAAAGAGAGATAGAGCCCTGAGAACAGCTTGAGCAGAGCTTATATATTTTCCCTGGAGAGGGCAGGGAGAGAAGTTACATTTTGTAGTTTGGCAGTTGGGGACAGCTCTTTCTGGGAACAAGATTAGCAGACAGTCCATAGTTGGGGACAGCACATTCTGGGAACAAGATTAGCAAACAGTTCTTAAGATTTCAACAGTGTTCTGTTAAGCATATAGAGAAATGGAGTGACAAGTACTTTTTTTATTAACCTTTCATTCAACATACTTTATATACAAACATGAAAAATTGTGGTATATATGTGTATTAAGAATTATAATGCAAAAAAGAGTACATGTATAATGGCATAATTTGTCGAGAACATACTTTATATACAGAGTTACAAAAAATTGTTCTGTATATGGGTAATAATGAGTGTAATGCATTCCACTATTGTCATATATTTAATAAGTAAATAAATTAAAGGTAAATGCTTAATTGCCCTAAAATGCTCTAGTCTTCTACACTGAACCTTTGGTCTGGGGCAACTTCCCCAATTTTCCTTCTGTCAAATTCCTCCTTCTCCTTTAAATTAAGGAGTAAATATTTGCATTATGTAACAATTACTATAATTGCAGAATGGAACTTTTAAGTGAACCATAATCACAGAATAGAACATTTCCACTTTCTTCATTAGCTGCTAGCCTGCAGGAGGGGGGTGATTGTTATTCCCTTCCTTCTTCACTCTCTTCCTTTTCCTCAGAACTATTGCAGAAATGGAAAACAGAGCTTTCAGGGAGCTTTCAATCTCTCTTGTGCTCTCAAGTCAACTAGTGTATTCTTGAGCGACCTCTGTCTTTGAGAATCCCCAAGGGAGAAGATAGCAAATGTAAAACAAATTGGTCATTGACTCCTCTGAATTCTTAGCTAGTCATTGTTGGTTGAAGATTTTTGGAAAGACAAAACCCAAACCACTATACCAAAGGTCTTAGAATTTCCTTTTTTTTTTTTTTTGGTAGTGGGGGTTGAACACAGGGGCACTCAACCACTGAGCCACATCTCCAGCCTTTTTTTTAACTAACAAATTTTAATTTGTTATATATGACAACAGAATGCATTACAATTCATATTACACATATAGAGCACAATTTTTCATATCTCTGGTTTTACACAAAGAAGAGTCACATCTTTCACGTCTTCATACATGTACTAAGGGTAATGATGACCATCACATTCCACCATCTTTCCTACCCCTATGCACCCTTATTCTCCTCCATCCCCTTTTCCCCTTTGCCCTATCTAGAGTTCATTTAATCCTCCCATCCCTCACCTCCCGCAGCATATTATGAATCAGCATCCTTAAACCAGAGAAATCATTCGGCATTAGGTCTTAGGGGATTAGCTAATTTCACTTAGCATTATCTTCTCCAGCTCCACCAATTTACCTGCAAATGCCATGATTTTATTCTCTTTTAATGCTGAATAATATTCCATTGTGTACATATACCACATTTTCTTTATCCATTCATCTGAAGGGCACTTTTTATACTTAGAGAAAAGGTCTTTTATACTTAGAGACAGGGTCTTTTATACTTAGAGACAGAGTCTCAACTAAGTTGTTTAGAGCCTCACTAAATTGCTGAGGCTGGCTTTTAACTTGTGATCCTCCTGCTTCAGCCCCTGAGCAGCTGGGATTACAGGCCTGCATGTGCCATTGCACCTGGTAAAAGTCCTTTTGTTAATGAAAGGATTTATTTTCCTCCAGAGTTTGTTTGTTCTCATTTACTGAGGCTTGAATTCAGATACAGAAGGCATTTCAAAACTGTGGTTCTATCTCCTTATGTTATTTCAACATCTGTTAATTACTGGTTTCTGCAAGACTAGTAGTCTTTAAATAATATATTTAGATAAGAGTTATTTGGTGAACTCTCTGACCTGCTTTCATGGATAACAAAGTTTCTGTGTAATTGGTTGACTTGTCAATACTTCAAGGAACAAGCTGGAACACACAAACCAGTCTTTCTTTCTGTCTTTAATTAACTTTGTTTTGAGTTAGCTCTTTGGGGTATTGAGCAAGCTCTGGGTTCCCTTGAGAATTGTGCAGCTGTGAGATGTCTTCTGGGTGCTGAGTCCCAGGGAATGAAATGAGCCAGCCACACCCATGCCCAGGTCCATTTCTTCTCCTAGGAGCATGATTTGGCCCCACTGTACAGCTCCTGCTGTATTCTTGCCCCACCAATTTTTGTTTCTCTTTGTTTTAGCCTACTTCCTGAGTATTGTTAGGTATTTGATAGCAAACAGAACTTAGTGTACTTTGATAAAATTGCTACTTTAAGATTTTTCCGGGAACACCTAACAGAGGTTCTAATAGGTTGTTAGAGGTGCATAGAGCCTTTGTTAACAGAATTTTATAATCAGGCTTAGAAGTCTGTAATTATCAAGTATAGACTTGTTCTAAGTTGCCTTTGACTTCCAGGTGACTCTCAGTCCCAACAGCAGTTTCAGTGACTTGTAAAGTCTTCAGAAGTCAATGCAGAGTTCATCTGTTATTCGTCTTTGTCAGTGTATTAAGGAGCTAAGTTGGTATTTCAGAGTTAGTAGGTAAACCATCTTCCTAAAATTCTTTCTCTTTGAACTTTAAAAAGTTTCTTCCTTCTAGTTAAGCTCTTCACTGATACCTAAAAGTGAGTGCAAACTATGTACATTAAGAGTTACTTTTTTTTTCCTTTCTTGGACTCAAGCAAATATGGAGTTCTTGATTCAAGAGTCAAGCTTTGTTGGAAACCATCCCAAACCCCAACTATGTGCACTCTTCAGGCTTTCAGGATGCGAGCCACTCTGTGGATGTTTTGATGTCATCCCCCTTCTTCCCCACCAATGTCCATGTAACTTAGATTCTGCACATGTGACCTACTCTGCCCCCACCACATGGAAGACTGTGTTCCTGTGTGAGAACACCGACAGTGCCCATCTGTGACCTGCTCCCCCGACTCCCCCAACCTGGGAGGGTAGAGAGTAGAAGCTAGATGAGGCCTCTGTACCACCAGCCAGATCTCATGCCCACAAGTGTGAAGTGGAAGTTAGAACCAACCCTTCTTTCTCTGGATCTCACATCATCAGTACCAATGTAAAAAATCACACAATCCCCAGCAAAAGGTGGTCTCCTTAAGAATGTATTATTTTTGGTACATTCTGAAAGCTCCCTTGATGTTGAATATATCCTCTGACAAAGCAAATACACATTCTCTACATTTCCATGGCATTTCAACACTTTAAAGGTTTTTTTCACTAGCATCATGCCATTTAATCTTTAAAAGAAAACTTTTAAATGTTTTTATTACTGCATTATAGTTATACATAATGGTTGGTATCATTTTGACATAACCATACATGCATAAAATTTGACTCGCTCCATTTCAGTCCCCTGTGCCTCCTTTTCCCTCCCACCCCCTTCCTCTGTAAAGCTGTAATGATTTGATAGAATAATTTCATTAAATCAAATAATCAACAGGTTCAGAGAGTTTGAGTGACTTTCTGAAGGTCACAGAGTAAGTAGTAAGTAGTCTTGCTCTAAGTCTAGTGTCCTTTTTACAAAATCAAAGAGATCATAGATATAGCAATAACACTTTTGAAGATAGCCACCAATCCTTTAAATAAAAATAAGAATAGAATACAATACTGGAGATAAAGCTCATAATGTAGATCTTCTTCTGCTAGTGGGAAAGCATCAACAAATGGGTCTGAACATATCCAAAATATTCAATTAATCCCAGGATTATAGACTTGGTTTAAGTAATGGTTGTTTATAGAAAAGTTCTAGATAGAAAACAATTTTTGCAAGAAGGTATGTACCTGTATCTATATCTACTTAGAAGATATACTTCTTGGGGGTGTTTATGCCATTGCTAAGTCACCATCTTAAATGATGTGTTCACAGTTGCCTGCATTCCCATGCCCCCTGGACTTTAATAGTCATCACATAATTTTTAACAAAAAAGAGTGACACCTTAGTCAGTTGTAATCATTAACTGTCTAGCCCATAAAGGGCCTTCATGAATATAAGTCACAGACTTTTAAAATATGGTCCAGGAAGAGTTTATTTTCCGCATTTACTATTCAAACCTCACATTTATCACATAAACATAATACCTGATTTTATTTAAGAGAGAAATTACATATTCACTGCAAAGAAAGAGTATAATGGCAGTAAACAAAACATTTCCCATCATGGTATGAGAATGTGTGACATTTCCTTTGAGTTCCTAAGAAATTCCCTGGATTCAAAAGTGCTGAACATTCTACATTTTTAAACCTGAGTCTATCCTTTACCACGCTATGGTGTTGACCTTGACTTTGATACATTTTACAGAAAGGAAAGTACAGACAGTGGAAATAGAGACAGACACAGATGACTTCAAGCACAATTGCCTGCTGTGTTTATGCTGGGGACAGGTGGAAGATCCCCTCCACTTAGTGTAAATGACTGATGGTTAAAAAGAGAGAAAATATATATATAAGAACTCACAAGAAATAGCCTTCCTCAGTAGGAAAGATGGCATAAGTCATATGCTTAAGATGAAAAGCTTACTAGCCTCAATCACCTGCTAATGTTCAATAACACTCACTTGGATTCTAAACATTTGCTTGAAAAAATGATTTCACAGGAATTTCTGATTTTCCAGAGAAAGCTTGTAATTCTATTGATTCCATCTCTAAGGAACAGAATTGGTGATGTTTTTCTGGCTGGTACTCTTGATGATATGGAGAGGAGTCAGAATACTGCTCCAAGGCAAGGCATCTGGATGGTCTCAAAATGTCAGGATGGTCCGGATACTGAAACAGGAAGGAAGAGACATTTTTATCAGTTAGGCAATTCACACTCTTCCGTGTGAGTGAATTAAACATTTGATGTGTCTCAGTGAAAATCTGTGTTCCCAGACATCCCTCTGCCATCCTTGTGTGTTAAGTTCCTTATGTATTAAGGTAGTATAAGGCAATTTGTCCTTTCTGGTTCTCTCTTGTGTTTTCTCCAATCTTAAACTCATTCACAACACCCTGAATATAGCTACCACTTAGAGGTTAGTTCTACATTAGAATCCTTTAAACAAAACAATATATTTTTGAGTCTGCATGCCTGCCATAAAATATGAAAATAAGTAATAACTTTGTAATGCATTCCTGTTATTTGTCATGTCCTTTGTGGATGCTTTTCAAACATTATCTCATTTAATTTTCAACCTAAACAATAATGCTACTAGGTCGTTTTTCATATTATTTCCATTTTAGAGATAATAGAAACTGAGACTTAGATTTATAAACTTGCTGTAGTCACACATCTAGTATGGGGTTGGAATTCAAACTCAAATACAAATTATAAGATGATAGATAACTTGCCTAAGGGAACTGATAGTTTAGTAAAGTTAAGGCCATGTCAAAGGTTTAATAGAGCTTTGGTGCAGAGATGGCTAAGGATTCTTAGAAGTAGATGATAAAGTTGGTACAGATTAATTCTAAGAGAACTTCATTCTTGGGAATATTGAAAATGTAACATTTATATGGGAACTAATGCCAATGTGAAAAACCACCTTCTAAGAAATACAAATGGTCAAAAAATATATGAAAAAGTGTTCAACATCTCTAGCAATGCAAGTTAAAACTACACTGACATTTCACCTCACTCCACTCAGAATGGCAATTATAAAGAATACAAGTAACAATTAATGTTGGTGAGGATGTGGGGAAAAGTTTCACTCATACGTTGCTGGTGGGACTATAAATTGGTGCAACCAATCTGGAAAGCTGTATGGAGATTCCTTAAAAAACTTGGAATGGAAACACCATTTGATCCAGTTATCCCACTCCTCAGCTTAAACCCAAAGGACTTAAAATCAGCATACTACAGTGATGAAGCCACATCAATCAATTCACAATAACAAAGGTATGGCCCTTCAATAGATGAATGGATTTAAAAAGTGGTATATATGCATAATGAATTATTACTCAGCCATAAAAAATGAAATTATGGCATTTGCCTGTAAATGGATGGAACTGGAGAATATGCTAAGTGAAATAAGCCAGTCCCCCAAAAAACAAAAAACAAAGATTAAATATTCTCTCTGATATGTGTGTGAATGCTGACCCATAACAAGGGAAGGTAGTGGGGGAAGTATAGAAGTTCATGGGATTAGACAAAGGGGAATGAAAGGAAGGGAGGGGGATTGGAATGGGAAAGACAGTAGAATGAATTGGACATAACTTTCCTATGCTCCTGTATGAATACACGACCAGTATGAATATACTTCATATCATGTTCAACTACAAGAATGGGATCAAAATTGTAATCGGTTGTATCTCATGTATGTATAGTATGTCAAAGTACACTCTACTGTCATGTACTCATAAAAACAACAAATAAAATATAAAAATAAATAAAATTTTAAAAAAACCACCTTCTGATGGAAAAACACTTTTAGAAAAATTGATCTTCATGTCTTTTTGAAAATTTTCAATAGATACCCATATATATATATATATATATATATGTGTGTGTGTGTGTGTGTGTGTGTGTGTGTGTGTGTGTGTAAGCAATTATATATAGTTAAATTAGAAAATACTGTATTGTGTAAAGATGAAAGTAAAAATAACCTGTAATTCCACAACTTAGAGATAACCTTTGTTAATATTTTATTTAATCATTTTTAGACATATGTATACTTTTTCTGTTGTTTTTGAAAAATTGGGATCATATTGTGTATTCAAGTTTGTATTTTTCTATTTTATGAGAATTATATAATTTTATCAAATTATGTTATGAGTATTTCCCACTGTAATAAAATCATTTTTCTTTTTCGTGGTGTTGGGGATTAAACTTGGGACTCACATATGCAAAGCAAGTTCTCTACCACCCAGTTACATCCCTAGCTTGGCTTCATTAATTTCTAACATGTGGTTGGTATTTGATGATTCTCTTAATATTAGACTTCTACAATGTTTCTAACTTTTGATACTATTGGTAGCAAGTAAACGTGTAAACATCTATATGTGTTTACACATTTATTTCTGTACAATAAGCTTTTAGAAATAGAATTCCTGGCACAAAGGATCTGTTTTTTAAAAAGTTTCAAATTACAAATTACTTAATTGCTTTCCCCCAAAGAATATAACAATTAATATTCCTACAAGCAGTATATAAAAGTGACCATATCATCTTATCCTTACTAATACTGAAAAGTATAATTTTTATTCTTTGCTTATTAACAGGGTTTCTGTTACTTAAATATTCATATTCAGTGTAAGGACGTCTCATAAAGAGCATTCAGGCCTACTTAATGATTCACCTGTTGTCCAACACTGCCATCTGGTTTTGGTATCTCTACGTTTGCCATCATTCTATTTAACCAGCTGCTGCTGCTGCTGCTAACATTTGATAACTGCTGGTTCCATAGCTCTTGAGCTCTTGAGAGGCAGTGTGGTTTCACAGAAAGTAAATCAACTTTGCTATCCAACAGATCTAATTGTGATTTCTAGCTCCCCTGCCTATTACCTGTATGACTTGGGCTAAGCCATATTCTCTCTGAGGTTCAGCTTTTCTCCTAAGATAGTGACAGGGGACCAGCATGCCAGCATTGCTTAGGAATCACATGAGGTAATGCAGATAAGACCATTAGGAAGGCAGCTGGAGCTCTGTAGAAGCTATGTTCTTTCTCGCCTCAAGAATATGGTAAGATGAATATCTACTATAGTATTTTATCAGAAATACTATTTAAAGTTGAAAATCTCATGAGAAGAAGTTGGGGGGGGGTAGCAGAAAATACACAATGGAACAAGAGGGTGGGAGGCAGATGTAACTCTACCTAGCTGTCACATAAATGCAGGTGACAAAACTCATTCAATTAGATGGTTGTGTTAAATGTTAGGGGTAGAAAATGGATTGACTTTTTGGTGGGTAGGGATTGAACTGGGGATTGAACCCAGGGGCACTCAATGACTGAGCCACATCCTCAGCCCTATTTTGTATTTTTTTTAATTAAGAGAAAGGGGTTTCATTGAGTTGCTTTATGCCTCACTACTGAAGCTGGCTTTGAACTCCTGATCCTCCTGTCTCAGTCATCTTTCTCCTACACTTTGGAGAAATTATAAGACTTAAACATTTAACATAGCATTTTGTACCCATCCCTTATTATAATTTTTATTTGTGAAAAAGTCTTTGTAAACTGCAGAAAGAAATAACAATAATAGTAGTATTTTTCATGAAAAACTAATAGTATCTGTATATAAAATCATCCCAATGTATTTCCTCTTACTCCTATAATGAAAGTTTCTGGGGATGTCCAGAACATTATGTATAGCCATTAATCAGCCTTAGATAGCCAAGCTGAGGCTTCAGTGACTCCATACTGTAGCTATGATTGTGTGACTCTGACGCTTTCTCTGGCAAAAATGAACATTCTGATCTCTGTCTCTGATCACTCAAATGTTTTGACATCAACGTCATTTGGCTTTAGCTGGACAGGAAACACAAAGCAACTGTTCTTAGATTCTCACAGTGTGATCTGAGATGTGCTATCTGCAAAGACTGAACTGGTGATGGGAAACCAAGAGACATCAACTTTCTCCTCATCCTTTCACTTTTTCATTCTCTATTAGAAAGTCCCCTACCATAAAAAGAAACTTAAAATCTACCTCTTTCCAGAGCGAAGCAGTTCAAATCCTTCATTTATTTTTTCAAAAGGTAAAACATTCGTTATTAATGGATCCAGTGAAAACTTCTTAGCCATAAAATCAGCCACAAGTTTGGGAACAGAATCTTTACTCTTAAAACCTGAAAAGAAGACAATATCATTGTTAGAGTTAGTGGGAGTAAGCAGGAGAATTGGAGAGGAGACTTTCCAATGAAATTAAAATAAAAGTCTGTAAAAAGTGCTACATTCTGTGGACTGCTATTAGTGAAGTCAGACAATAAGCCCTTCAATACCCTTTTGTAGTGCTTTGACTTTTTTTTTTTAATCCTCCCAGATAAAGTAGGGTCCTTAGCTAGCTTTCGGGTGCCTATAGGCTCTACAATGAGAAATTACAATACAGATAAGTATGGCCAAAGACAAAAAAGCAAAGTTTGCAATTGTCTAAATATGCAGTGAATATAGGCATAAATTATTGCTACAGATTTCCTGTGTCCTACAAAGAATTTTTGTGCCTTATGTAACGAGTATGAAAAGAGCTGATGCTGAAAGGTTTATGGGGATACCAGAGTATTCTGTCTTGGGACTTTCTCTCTTCATTAGTTCCACATATAATTAATTTGGAGGCTATAGATACAATAGAAATTATAGTTCATTTAAAAAAATAAATGTTCAATGTAGTAACCGCATTGTTTTTCAAAACCTGACCTTGTCACTTGTAAAAAGGAGGAAATTCTGAGGTTAATGAAAATTTAGTCCTCAGGCTTAACAACTTACCACCAAAAATTCCTCCTTTCCAGATGCGTCCAGTCAATAGCAGCATAGGATTCATGGGGATATTTTGGGAATCAGGAGGTACCCCTACGATGACGCTTACACCATATGAATTTTGACAACATAACAGGGCAGAAAGCTGAAATGAAAAAAAAATCAATATTTTGCATCCTTAAAGTAGATTCTCAGATAGATAGTACCTACTCATAATTCACAGGATATTGGAAGAAGGGAATTGTCTTCTGCTTCATTTCCCATTGTATCTAGGATACTGTTGCTGCTTGGAGAAATACCAGAAAGTTTTGTGTTTTTTTTTTCAGTGAAAGAATGGATAAATCATTTTATATGTACTTCATTTTTCTTTATAAACTAATAAATAGGCAAATATCATTACACACATATGTAAAGTCTGGGTTTTCACAAAGTTTTTCACTGTTTGATCATCACATGATTCTCAGGCAATCTATGAATTCATCATTTAATTTTTTATTTATCTATTAAGTATGTATTTTGAACAGGTTTTTGATTGGTGAATAAGATATAATGATTATGTCATCAAAATTTGTCTCTTGTCCACTTGGTAATCTCTCTTTTTAGTAAATTCCAATTCTGTTGTCCAATGGACATGCTTTACATGATGTTTGCATCTCTCCAATGTATTCTAGTTTTACTTTAAACAGAATCTATTATTCTGGATATTCAAAAGACAGTCCAGGAAACTGTCCCCCTCTAGTCATTTTTTAACATAGTCTGTAGTAAAAGAGTGTGTTAGAATTTCCAAAGATACACATTTTGATTTTGAAGAATGACATTCGGAAGACCAGATCTCCTCAGAGCATGTGGCTAAAAAGCATTTGGCATCTTCAAATAAAGCAACAACCCAGTTCCATGAGAGAAAATAGAAAAAGGGCACAGTGAGAAAAGCTACAGCCTCGGAAAAAATGGTCTCTCTTTGAACCTCCATCATCTATGTCATATTATCCCAGGTCAAGTCTGCAAAGAATTTTACTCTCAGGGCACAGATCCCAATTACCAATACCACTAGGTTTTCCTGGTAAACCTCAACAGTTGGGTCTTATTGGTCTCTGGTGACTTTTTCAGCAGAATTCTGGAGAACTCTGGTTAGGTAAAATACAGCTAGAAACATATTACACACAGGAATTGATATTTGGAATTATTTGAAAGTAATGTCATACATATTCCAAAGATGGTGTAAGAACTGCAAGCTTGGAAATAGTGTTTCATACGCGTATCACCAGCTGACATGTATTGAGAGTGACACTGTGATAAATATTTTACTTGCATTAGTTCATGTAACCCATACAAAGCTATGAGACATATCTCTCAAATTTGGGGAGTGGCAAAAATCTGCTGATTTTTTAAAAGTATTCACTTCAATATATACATGCTGATGCTCTCTATGTACCAGGCACTGTGCTGTCTCTGTGGTAAAATAAAATGATGTGTGAAGGCAGTCAGTTTCCTTAGGACATATTTTCTGTTGGTAAAATAATAGTTGGCCCCAAATTGCTCTCTTCTCCTTTTAACTAGCTAATGATATTTGGAAAAAAATTCATAATGAATTAATTAAAACAAAAAAGTTTATTAAACCGTATTTGTTAAGAATGTGGAGGAAAATCAAATTTGCCAAGTTAAAAAAAAATTGTATTATGTATATATTTACTTGTTGAAGTTTTTTTTTGTTTGTTTTTTGTTTTTTTTTTTACTGAAAACCAATAAAGCTACCAACAGCTTGTTTAGTTTTTGAAATATTACTCAGGTGACAGTAACTGGAGAGCTGACCTACTAGGAATATACTGATTTTTGCAGTAAATAAGTATATTAGTGTTTTTTCAAGATAGTACAGAGGAGGAAAGCATAAGTCAAATCGAGGGAGAATTATTTTTGATCCTGTGCTGAGTAAGACAGAGACACTTAGAGGGTGCCAGAGGCTGTGGCAGGGGAAAGAGTGCCTGTCGTATGCCCCACTCTCCATCCATAGATTTAGAGCTTCCAACCTGTCCCCCCATTCCTGAATAAGGATTCTTTTCTTCCTTTAACTACAGGGCTTGGACCCAGGACCAACCCAATAAGTACCTTTTGGAGTGGGATGTTCAGAATGATAATAATAGTCTTATTGCTATTAGTCCTACCATAGTGATAGCAATATAAATGAGATGCTTACTAAGGCCTGACCCTCTTCTAAGTTGTTGAAATGTACTGACTCACATTAAAACATGCAAACGGACATGTTTGACAGGTGAAGATGCTGAGACTCAGAGCTTGAGCCACTTGCTCAAGGACCCTTAGCTGGTGGGCCATTGAATGGCCTCCTGAATTGAATGATGCTCTATGAACTAGCAGGAACACTGTCACTGGATGCCTCACTTCTTCTATTCTGATTGAGAAATGGGGGCTGGGCTCATCTCTTCTTCTGGATCCATGTAACAGAACCTTCCATCTATAGTGGATGTCCAGAGCAGATCTACTGATATTCCTAATGGAGACTCTGAAGAGCCATTTGGATTTGAATCTTAGGCTCAGAAGGACAATCACTAGAGTAGAGTATTGATATTTGAACAAGCTAGAAACCTGAGCACAAATCAAAGAATAGTAAGATTAAATTCCTTATGGGCAGGAATTTAATTTAATAGATATTGGAAACACTGAATCACTTTCAGACACATATACTTTTCCTGCTAAGAAACCAGAAAATATTCTGTAAAGATAAAAAAGGACAAGAAAACCAATAAAGTTAATTTGTAATGGCTCAATTAAAAAATGAACCCTTTCCCTCATTCAAATAGAAATCTTACTTGAGACAGGTTTGATTATCTGACAGAATGAAGGATTTCTCATAGCAATAAATTAAGTAATCCAAGTAATAAAAAGAAGATGGAAATCACTATTCCAAAAACATATTGTTACATAATATTTATATTCTGCTGCATACTCCAGATTGCAAAAGTGAAAAGCTCAAGGCGTGTGAGGGTACGTACCATGGTGTCCAGCCGACCAATGACTTCAAAGGAAAAGTCCACACCTCCGTCACTCAGTTCCTTCAACACCTCCTCAATGGGCTTGTTGTAGTCTTGAGGGTTGATGCACTCAGTGGCACCCACTTCTTTGGCTTTTGCAAATTTGTTTTTGTTGATGTCCACTCCAATGATCCTTGATGCTCCAGCTGCTTTACAGCCCATGATAACAGACAGGCCAACTCCTCCCAGGCCAAACACAGCACAGGTGGAACCTTGGGTGACCTGTTTTTGAAAATGCAAAAAATGGATTACACAATCACTGCAGTGCCCAAGCTGTATAAATTGCAGCCTTGGATGCTCCCAGGAGCTGTTCAGACTGTATCCAAGCTGCTGTCAAAATCTCTTTTGGTTACTCTTGCTTCATGTTTAAACAGGGTGAGGAGTCAGTGGCTTTGCTACACGGTGGATACACCTAGAGAGCTTAAAAATATCACAATGTCACAGTCCATACAAATTCAATCAGAATCTCTATAGGTGAAATGCCGTCCCCAGTCACTTCAATGGGGAGCCAAGGCTGAGAGCCATCGAACTGGATGATCTTTAAGCCACAAAGGTCAATGACTCTAATCATTTTTTTTCTTTTGAGTTGTGATAGACACAATACCTTTGTTTTACTTATTTATTTATATTTGGTGCTGAGAATTGAACACAGTGCCTCATGCATGCTAGGCAAGCACTCTACCACTGAGCTACAACCACAGCCCCCAATGACTCAAATCTTGAAGAAACTCTCAATGGCTCAAATCATTGATAGTCAGCTTCAGTACATTATACACACACACAAGCAATTTAGTGGGGGCAGGGAGTAAGGGAGGAAAAAAATAGACAAGGTCACTCCAGGAGACCAAGAAGTAATCCAATCAAGCTACCAATAAGCAACCCCTTCCCTGGTCCATTAACACACAACCAGTAATCACAACCAGTGTGAAGAGAGCAGAAATTAGATTGTGAAGCATTTAAGAGTTATTCTGGGCTTAAAGCAAAGCATAAACAACAGATGAAATTCAACTGACAACTTTAAGATAAAATAGGTTGTGACTAATGTGATATTTGTGTCTTCATTCCTGAATTAACAGGTAAGCACAGAGGGGCTGGGGTTGTGGCTCAGTGGAAAGATGGCTTATTTAACATGTGGGAGGCAGGGGACTCAATTCTCAGCATTGCATATAAAAAACAAACAAATAAAAAACCAAAGTTTCGTAGACAACAACAACAAAGGGAAAAAAAAGAAAGAAGAAGAAAATTAAAACAACAAAAATGTGCACAGAACAATAGTGCACCATAAAGTTGGACTGTATTTGAATAATGAATGAAATCCATTTTTGTGAATATCCTGTGTGTGTGTGTGTGTGTGTGTGTGTGTGTGTGCGCACTCGGGTGCGTGCGTGCATGTGTGTGTGTGTGTGTGTGTGTGTGTGTGTGTGTGTGTTTGTTCATGGCAGGGGAGAAGTGCAGCAGTGAAATCCCAGAATGGGTGGAAATAACACATTGCTGAAGCTTCATTGCATTTCTCTTTGGATCTGCAGAGTGGGTGGTCCCCAGTTTAAAAGTCATCGGATGAGGCTTTGGAATATATTATTGATCCTAATCCTGGGAGTAAGGTATCCATGGTTTTTGGCTCCTCCAAGGCAAACACTTCATTTTATTTGCTTTGACTGCTTTAGAACTCAGTAGAACCTATTGGCCTGATGTGTGTATAGTTACTCTCTAATTGTAGAATGAATAAGTGACACCCCAGTCATAAAAGTTAGTAGTCCCACAAAGAAAGAAATATAAGATAATAATTATTGAAAATGAAATATTTGCTTTTTCTTAACTTATTCTTAACTTAGTATCAACAGCATTTTCATCTGTGATAAACAGGTAAATTTTCTAAGACATGGTCTCAAATTATTTTTCTATTAATAATCAACACTACAAACACCCATATATTAAACACTTTCCTATATATCAGTGTTGAATCCATTGAAAGAGAAATCAGGAAAACTACACCATTCACAATAGCCTAAAAAAAAATTGGGGAAACAATCTAACAAAACAGGTGAAGACCTCTACAATAAAAACTACAGAACACTAAAGAAAGAAATTGAAGAGGACCTTAGAAGACGAAAAACCTGCCATGCTCTTGAGTAGGCAGAATTAACATTGTCAAAATGACCATACTACCAAAAGCATTATACAGATTTAATGCCATTTCTATTAAATTTCTTTTTGTGTGTGTATGGTGCTGGGGATTTAACCCATGGCCTTATGCATCCAAGGCAAGCACTCTACCAATTGAGCTATATCCCCAGCCTACAATTTCTATTAAAATCCTAATAATATTCTTCTTAGAAATAGAAAAAGCAATCATTAAATTCATTTGGAAAAATAAGAGGCCCAGAATAGCCAAAGCAATCCTTAGCAAGAAAAGTGAAACAGGAGGCATCACAATAGCAGACCTTAAACTGTATTACAGAGCCACACTAACAAAAACAGCATGGTATTGGCACCAAAACAGATACATAGACCAGTGGTACAGATCAGAGGACACAGAGACAAACCCACATAAATCTGATATCCCATACTAGACAAAGGTGCCAAAAAAATTCATTGGAAAAAAAAGATAGCTTCTTCAACAAATAATATTGAGAAAACTGGAAATCCATATGTAACAAAATGAAATTCAACCCCTATCTCTCACCTTGCACAACACTCAATTCAAAGTAGATCAAAGGCACTAGAACAGAGACCCTATAATAGAAGAAAAAATAGGCCCAAATCTTCACCAGGTTGCCTTAAGAACTAACTTCCTTAATAAGACTCCTAAAGCACAACAAGTAAAATCAAGAAACAATAAATGGGATGGTTTCAAACTAAAAAGCTTCTCAGCAAAGGAAACAATCAATAATGTGAAGAGAGTGCTTATAGAATGGGAGAAAATCTCATGCACTTCAGAAAAGCATTAATCTCCGGGATATATAAAGAACTCAAAAAACTTAACACCAAAAACAAACAAACAAACAAACAAACATATAACCCAATCAATAAGTGGGCTAAGGAACTGAACAAACACTTCACAGAAAAAATACAATTGATCAACAAATATGTAAAAAAATGTTCAACATCTCTGGCAATTAGAGAAATGCAAAACTACACTGAGATTCCATCTCACTCCAGTCAGAATGGCAATGATCAAGAATACAAGCAACAATGAATGTTGGAAAGGTACACTCATACATTGCTGGTGGGACTGCAAATTGGTGCGGCCATTATGGAAAGCAGTATGGAGATTCCTTAGAAAACTTGGAATAGAACCACCATTTGACCCAGCTATCCCACTCTTGAAATTATACACAAAGGACTTAAAACACAGCATACTATACAGACACAACTACATCAATGTTTATAAAGCAGCTCAATCACTATAGCCAAATTATGGAACCAACTTAGATGCCCTTCAAAAGATGAATGGATAAAGAAAAGGTGGTATATATACATAATGGAATATTACTCAGCCTTAAAAAAGAATGAAATGATAGCACTTGCTGGTAAATGGATGGAACTAGAGACTATCATGCTAAGTGAAATAAGCCAAACCCTAAAAACCAAAGGGCAAATGTTTTCTCTGATATACGGATACTAATTCAAAATAAGGGGTCATGCTACGGAAAAATAGAGGTACTTTGGATTAGGCAGAGGGGAGTGAAGGGAGGGGAAGGGTTTGAGAGTATGAAGGTCAGTAGAAGGAATCGGACATTATTACCCTATGTACCTATAGGATTACATGACTGATGTGATTCTACAACATATACATCCAGAAGTATGAGAAGTTGTGCTCCATTTATGTATGATGTGTCAAAATGCATTCTACTGTCATGTATAACTAATTAGAACAAATAAATAATTTTAGAAATTAATAATACAAAATCAACACTACAAATCCATGAAAATAATCTGTTTCCTATGAGAAATTGCTCCCTTTTTGGTCCTTACTGTCTTAACGTGAACGGGTTTCAATGGCCATTGTCAATATTACCTTGGCAACTTTGACTGCTGAGCCATAACCAGTTGTAAATCCACAGCCGATGAGGCAAACTTTCTCCAGCGGAGACGCTGCATCAATTTTGACCACCGCCATCTCATCCACCACCGTGTACTGGCAGAAGGTGCTGGTGTGGATGAAGTGGTTGATTGGCTTCCCCCTGCAGGTGAACCTGCTGGTGCCATCTATCAAGGTCCCCTGGGGTTGTTGTAAACTGATCAATGGAACACACAGACACACAAGGGACATGAAACAGGAGCAAACAAATGTGCAACAACTTTGTTAGCTCTGCAAGGAGAGTATAAGAGACCTACCTGCTTTTCAAACAGACATTGCCTTCTGGGTGTTTACAAACTTTGCATTTTCCGCACTGGGGATTAAAGAGGGGGATGACTTTATCACCTGGAGGAAAAAAAAAACCCAAATTTTTCTTAAATTTCTCTCCAGGAATTAATAAAGCAAGAACTTAACCTTACATGAAACGATGTGTATCTTTTAAAAGGCTACAAGAAATAACGTTCAATCAACCATGCCTTTCCTCATTTGGGTTTAAGAGGTATATAAAGATTCCCAAAGAAGAAAAATGCATGTAGAAAATAACATGGATTTTAAAAACTATTTACACTACATTCATAGCTAATGTTTTTTAATATTTATTTTTTAGTTGTAATTGAACACAATATCTATCTATCTATCTATCTATTTTTTTAAATTTTTTTGTTGGTTTTTCAAAACATTACAAAGCTCATGACATATCATCTTTCATACATTTGATTCAAGTGGGTTATGAACTCCCATTTTTACCCCAAATACAGATTGCAGAATCACATCAGTTACACATTCACAATTTTTACATAATGCCATATTAGTGACTGCTGTATTCTGCTGCCTTTCCTATGCCCTACTATCCCCCCTAACCCTAACCCTCCCCTCCCATCTTCCCTCTCTACCTCATCTGTTGTTGTTCAGTTCTCTCCCTTGTTTTTTTTTTTTTTGGAAGTGTGAATCAGGAGGCATAGAAATACCAGATTTCAAACTGTACTATAGAGCAATAGCAACAAAAACAGCATGGTACTGGTACCAAAACAGGCAGGTGGACCAATGGTACAGAATAGAGGACACAGAGCCCAATCTACAAAATTACAACTTTCTTATATTTGATAAAGGGGCTAAAAGTATGAAATGGAGGAAGGATAGCATCTTCAACAAATGGTGCTGGGAAAACTGGAAATCCATATGCAACAAAATGAAGCTGAACCCCTTTCTCTCGCCATGCACAAAAGTTAACTCAAAATGGATCAAAGAGCTAGATATCAAATCAGAGACTCTGCGTCTGATAGAAGAAAAAGTTGGCTCCGATCTACATATTGTGGGGTCGGGCTCCAAATTCCATAATAGGACACCCATAGCCCAAGAATTAATAACAAGAATAAACAAATGGGACTTACTTAAACTAAAAAGTTTTTTCTCAGCAAGAGAAACAATAAGAGAGGTAAATAGGGAGCCTACATCCTGGGAACAAATTTTTACTCCTCACACTTCAGATAGAGCCCTAATATCCAGAGTATACAAAGAACTCAAAAAAAATTAAACAATAAGATAACAAATAACCCAATCAACAAATGGGCCAAGGACCTGAACAGACACTTCTCAGAGGAGGATATACAATCAATCAATAAGTACATGAAAAAATGCTCACCATCTCTAGCAGTCAGAGAAATGCAAATCAAAACCACCCTAAAATACCATCTCACTCCAGTAAGATTGGCAGCCACTATGAAGTCAAACAACAACAAGTGCTGGTGAGGATGTGGGGAAAAGGGTACACTTGTACATTGCTGGTGGGACTGCAAATTGGTGCAGCAAATATGGAAAGCAGTATGGAGATTCCTGGGAAAGCTGGGAATGGAACCATCATTTGACTCTGCTATTGCCCTTCTCAGACTATTCCCTGAGGACCTTAAAAGAGCGTACTATAGGGAGACTGCCACATCAAGGATCATAGCAGCACAATTCACAATAGCTAGACTGTGGAACCAACCTAGATGCCCTTCAATAGATGAATGGATAAAAAAATGTGGCATTTATATACAATGGAATATTATGCAGCACCAAAAAATGACAAAATCATGGAATTTGCAGGGAAATGGATGGCATTAGAGCAGATTATGCTAAGTGAAGCTAGCCAATCCTTAAAAAACAAATGCCAAATGTCTTCTTTGATTTAAGGAGAGCAACTAAGAACTAAGCAGGGAGGAAGAGCATGAGGAAAAGATTAACATTAAACAGAGATGAGTGGTGGGAGGGAAAGGGAGAGAGAAGGGGAAATTGCATGGAAACGGAAGGAAACCCTCAACATTATACAAAATCACATATAAGAGGTTGTGAGGGGAAAGGGGGGGAAAACAACATAGCTAATGTTTATGGCACACCCTGAATTTTCCTGGAAACTTAACACACATCATCTCATTTAATCCTTACTTAATTAAACCTGAAATATTCCTGCTGTAAGTATAGATATAAATTTCAAGTTGTCATAGTTTTACTAGATGCTGGGAAGATCTTATATTTTGTACAATAGTTATAATAAAACAAAAATGAATAAAGTAAAATAATAAATGCAATAAAACATTTTTAGAATAAAAATAAAACCAAAATTGGCCATAAGTTACAATCAAAATGAGAATTTCAGCAACTACTTTTTGACTTTTCAAAGTGACTGTGCTTATCTTTTTTATGAAAGGAATGCTTTTAAAAAAAATCTTCATTCCTTTTTGAGAAAGACTAACAAAAATGGGACAAAGAGCTAAAAAAAATTCCTGTGAAAATCTCAACTCTCAATGTTCTCTCATTGAGAACAAGAACTATCAACTGTTTTAGCTGATAATTTATTAATGATCTATTTTTCTTGCTATAGAGAAAGCAAGAGTTAAAAGTAAGAGTGTCTTTTTATTATTATTTCCAATTTTTGGCTTAGAAAACTAAGTCAAAATTCAAACTGTTTATGTATTATTTGCTTTTAATTAAATATTTGATAAGGGGAAGGCTGAGTCTACTGTCTAAAGTGATCTTTTTAGAATTAAACACAATTGTTTTTAATCATCTATACTACCTATCCAACCAGACCAAGAAAAACGGTTGGCCCATTACATTTTATAAATAAACTTTATGTGGGGATGATAGCATGAAATTTTTCTGTTTATTTATCGTTTACTTCCCAAAACATGTTAATATAAAATAAAATGAAGATAAAGCAAATATTAAAAATAAAATAATCAGCCATTTGTAACCTTTAACTTGGATTAAAGATAATAAAAACGATATGGTTTATGACCGATGCCTTCCGCCCCCTTCTTTGGTTTCCTTCCATCTAGTGTGTTTTATTTGTTCTGTGTTTGAGAAGGAAGGCCATACTGGAAAAGGAAGATCGTGTAGACTCAGTCCTAGGCTCACAGCCCCAGTTTGTGAACTTAACACAGAAGTAACGGTTTCCATAAGCTGATCTAGAGTCTCGGGATCTGGACTTAGGTTTTTTCCCCTTGCCCCATTTGTAGTTCTGAAATGGAAGGTATGAAGTCATGACTCCACTCTGGCAGGCTCTATGTCTCTTTGGATGCTCAGATACCCCAGCCACTAACCTGGTGCCTGGCATTTAGTAGCTACTCAATAAAGAGTTGTTGAAGGAGAAAATACAAGATCATCGGAATGTACCCTGCCTGGGTCAGACCAGGGAGAAAGGGAAGGAGGGAACCTCTCTAGCCCCCCTCATCTGTGAGCTTGTGCCAGTTTTATGGCACTTATTGCTTCTTTTTTTCTCATCTGGTTTGGATGATCTTGGGATCTTGAACTAAAGCACGTTCCCGGAATGTGCATTCTGTACCTGGTTTTACTGAAGTCACCCCTTCTCCAACGCTCTCTACGATGCCAGCTGCCTCGTGGCCTAAAATCACAGGAAGAGGCCAATGGAAGCTTCCACTGACCACATGGTCATCTGAGCGGCAGATTCCTGTGGCCACCATCTACAAATCAAAGGTCCAGTGATTAGGTCCAGAGAAGATGATGACTCTCAGAAGGACATAACATATCCACATGTGTGAAATTCTGCTTCTGAAAAGTTTTCAAGTCTTGCTAATTGTCCCCCTACTCTCCGAATGCAAAAGATTGTTTTGTCCTCAGGATTGTTCAAAACCCTTTTCTACCTTCCTTTCCAGAATTAAATAATTTAGAACAATTGATCCTGAAATCTTGTGGGACATGATATACAAGAATGCATGCTTTTCTGGAAGGAAAAACTGCAGATTATCACCAAGAAAATATTGAAGGTTAATTGATTTTGATACCTTGTATATAACCCTTTGCATTTCTGCGTGGATGCATAAATTCTTTTTTGTTTTACTGGGATTATACTGTACATGCTCTTTGGTTTCTTTTCAAAAAAATGAACAATATATTTATAGGTTGACTTAGCAATAGTTATAACACATTATATGGACAACAGTATAAAAAGTGCCTGTTAATGGATTTTTTTTGGTTGTTTCTATTTTGAATAGTCTCTGATTTTTTTTTTCAGAGGTGGTATCAGGGATTAAACTCAGGGGTACTCAGCCACTGAGCCACACCCCCAGCCCTATTTTATATTTTATTAGAGACAGGGCCTCACTGGGTTGCTGAGGCTGGTTTTGAACAGGTGATCCTCCTCTTAGCCTCCTGAGCTGCTGGGATTACGGTGTGCACCACCACACCCGGCTCTGAAAATTTTTTAACCTAAAATTAAATATAAGTAAAAAAAAATTCACCTTAATGCGAACTTCATGGGCCTTAGGGGGTGCAACTTCCACCTCTTCAATGGAAAAGGGTTTCTTTTCCTCCCAAAGCACAGCTGCTTTGCATTTTATTACCTGGAAAATGAAACAGAAAGATGATACTCTCAAAATAAGGAATTAGTTCTCACTTTTGTCAAACATCCATCCCCCCCTTCACCTACTGTGTCACAAAGTGCTCCATAGAAATGAATAAGTATGGTTTACAAAAATATTTTTTAAAAAAAACTTTCAAAAATGTGTGAAGCATTACCATAGGAGAGAGAATCATAATTAACTGTAAGTCACAGTTTTTTAGGTCATCCTTACAGATATCCTAATATCCTGAAATCGGTTGTTTGCCTGCGACTTGTTGACTTGTACATGAAGTTCTGATCATTATTTTTCTCACTTGCTCAGTTTCTGCTAAAGTCCACAGTATCTGACTTTATAATAATTTCATATTTCTCTTGCCACATACGATGCTTTTTTTCCCCAAATGGCCTCTTCTCCTCCTCTAATTTCCTTTTTCCCATGGTCAATGGCAAAACAAATATGAGGGTACTTGAAAATAATATACTAGTTGTAGGTGGGTTCTGATTATTGGGTGTCTATGATGTGGCAAGCACATGGTGGTCTGTGCAGGTTTTATCATCTTTAAACCTGTCAAGGTTGCTACCAGGAAAATATTATTGGATTATTGCTTTGTTTTGTATTTGAAAAGATTGAAGCTAATTGACTTAGTGATTGAGTAATTTTTCCAAAGCTACAAAGTTGGCTGTTAAGAAAATTAAGATCAATCCAGCTTTATCTTCAAAGTGGAGTGAAAAGAAAATAAACAAAAAGTTAGATAACAACAATAATAGCAGTGACTAAAATACATTGACTTATTTCAATGTACCAGATGCAATTCTAAATGTCAATAGTACAAATTTATTAAACTCTCAACTACCTTATGAAGTTGATGTTATTTCTAGCACCATTTAGCATTTGAAGAAAACAAAATGCAGTGTAAACATACATGAAAGGTTTTCAAAGAGTGAAGAATTGGCATTCCACCAGAATGGATAGATTGCTTATTATCATTTTCATTGATATGATTTGTTTACAGTTTTTCTCTATGAATTTCCTATTTTTTTCCCAGCCAAGTTTTGGCAAACTTAAATTTTTCTTTTCCCCAAGAACTTTTCTTTTTGAAATATTGTAAATACAAATGAAAAACCACAAGATGAAATCAGAACACTGGCAAATGTCAAGTGGTCCCACTGTGATCAATATGGGGTTACAGTGCCACACAGTGTATAGAGAACCCTCAGAATCTGTAAAGAGAATTACCATAGTGAGATATTGCACGGTGCCAGCCACTCTTCAAACAACAAACACGTTGGAAACAGTTGTACAGGCTTTTGCAATTGAGCCATCAAACAGTATGAATTAGATATATTGAATGACTGCATGTATTTCTCTGTACCTCAATCAGAATTTGCATGTTGATGCTGTCTTTCTGAACCTTGATGATTCTAATGCTTTGAGAGCAATATGCCTTTTGTCAGAGATTTTGACAGGCTTAAAAGGAAATTTCAGTTTTCTGAATCAGATTCCTCTCATGAAACTTTAGTTAAACTTGACTTCCCCGTGTTTGTAAGAAGAACAAGATTACAAAGGATATCATTTAAATTAGGGTGTCTCAATATAAAGATAACCTTTGATGATAGACATTTCCAATGTTAGGTAGATTTGACAATTAGTTACAAGTGACTTGGAATTAACTATCACATGATTGCAAATTTATTTAAGTAGGAAATAAAGATATTAATAGACTCATTCTACACATTCTACACATTGTTGAAGTTATTTAGGAATAGTTTATTTTCATTGTAGTTCAGTAAGTATCATATATCGTAACAAACATTGCATATTGCATTAATACATTATTATTTCTAGTTTAATTAATTTTAGATTATTCATCAAAAACTGGATCCTTTTACATGTTATGCTAATAAGAGCATATGTCCAATAGTAAATCTTTTTTGCTTACTTTGCCTGCTGTGCTCATGTTATTTCTGTCTTCTCTGCTGTCCAGGAGACTGAAGAATACCTGCAGACGTCTTCCCTGCACCACTACATACAGCCTCTGGGTTGCAAGGGTATTTTGTTTGCTTGAGTGCCAGTGGATTCTGCACGTGATCTGGGTTTTTAAGCCACGCCTATCAGCTTATACTCAGACCAAGTTAAGTTAGAAAGCAAAGGACACGGACCTGTAATGCCAAAAAAAAACCCAAAAAAACCCTCGATTTTGTAATGTGCCCACTGTACATAACATTTTGTTTCCATTAGGTTAAATATTTCCTTACATACTCCCTCCCCTCATTCCATGTGTCCCCTCTCTCAGTCCCACTCAGGTCCGAGTTCTCTTTTCCCTTGTCTGCACTAGACTCCAACTTTGAATCTTCCTGCTGAAGTTAGGGAGGAGAGGAGTAAATCAGCAGGGAAATGAAGCAGGACAGGCAGAGCCAAGGGCCAGAGGATCCTATCTGATACAAGTTGCTCCTTCTATTTGTAGCAGAGAAACAGACACACAGTCAGCCACAGCAAAGCTGCTCGCTGTCCCTAGCATTTCTGTTGCATACAACACCCACCAGCATCGACTGACAACCTCCCTGTGTCAGGCACTAAGCTGGGTCTAGGGGCAAACTGATGAGTCAGAGATGGCCTCTGCCCATGCTAAGGGGCAGTTTGGGGCAGTAATTTTGGCCTTTGGCCTGTTCCTTCCTAGCTATGTGAGCTAGGACTTAATATGTTATTATTTTTCGCCATGGCTTTCTTGTCTGTAGATGAATAACAGCACCACTTCTAGAACTATGATAAATAAATGAAAAAATTATGCAAAGCAACTCTCATGGAGGCTGGCAGGTGGGAGAACACTCAATAAGTATTATCTACAATTGTTACCCATAAAGGGAAGCTCGGGGTATATTGAGGGAGAAAGGCAAACAGGTAAACGAGTCATTACCTGGCTTATCAAGGGAAGAGCATCCTCACTGGAAGACTCAGAGGAAGCTTTTAGAAAGCAGACATTTGAGGTAGAGACTAAAGATTGATCATTTTGGCTAATTGACAAACAAAAAAAAATTCACTTGGACATTTCTGTTGTCTTTTGTTCAATGCTATGAGTTCAAGAAAGAGAATATGAGTTTGATTATTTTATCAAATCTCAAGTCTTTTACCAATACCCAGAGACCACAGTGCATATCCCTGCTTAATTATATGTAGTCTGGTCAACACATATACATAAACATAAGCTGCATATTTCTCTAGAGTTGTCAAAGGAACAATGATGTTGACTGTGTACAACTTTAATTATGCAGGTGCAAAGAGTCAACTAGGGGTACACAAAAGGTAAGAAAGGTCTGTGTCTCATTGTGATCAGATGATCAATGAACAGGCATTAATTCTAGAGAATGGCCATCAATCTTCTCTCTCACCACACATCTTCATGTCCACTTGCTCCAAACTTGAAAGACTCCAGATGGCTTTTTACAGAGTAATGGACAGACACAGAATGGATTCAGATGTTATTTGTAATTCTTAATAAATTGTTAGTTACTCTGTGAGGCATAAATTTACAGGAACCGAATGCCCAACTATTGTGTTTCCAGAACTCTACTTGGAGTTTTTCATACATTATCATAGATATTTACAACCTTTGTAATACATTACAAGGAAGTTATGATTATGATTCTCATTTTACAGGTGAGAGAAGAGAGACTCAGAGATTCCAGGTCTCCAAATGTCCTTTTTAAGATAGATTGGCCTCAAGAACAGAACTGTCTGCTGGGTGGTGTTCCTGGGAGATTTATAGAAGGAATATAATATGAAATCACACAAATATTAAAGGATAAGAAATGGGGGGTATATCTTGAACAACTGGACTAATTGTTCAATGAGGGGCTAATTGACTCTCTCTCTCTCTCTACCCTCTTTCTCTCTCTGAATGAGCTAAGACCCCAATTTTTCTGTCTTTTCAAGTAGAGTTCCTCTGTCATTCAGGTGGGTCAGATGGTCAGCCTAGGTCTTATGAGAAAACATGTTCACCTGTCCAAGCCCAAAGCATGATCTAAGATACATAAGGAACAGAAAAAAGTAAGGCTTTAATTTAATGACAGTCTAGCAAGATCAGGTGCCTGGTGGCCAGAGACCCCCAGACTGGGTACAACCACTGTTTTATCTCCTAGAGCACAAGACTCCTCCCCAGTTCCTCATTGGCAGAGTACTATGGGGTGCACAATCTTCTTGAATGTGACAGGTTTTAGTATCTCCTACTGGGTTACTTAAAAGAAATACACCTTTAGTTATCCCCACCTTCCTTTGTTCTCTTGTGACAGCAACGTCTCCCTGGATCCAGTACCTTTTGGCATAGATACAGTTTCTGTCTGTTGGTCAGGTAGGGCCCTTTTTATTCATCTGTCAAAGGGCTGTAAATCTTTACACTGAGTGTTAACTCTCCATCCCGCTTTCCCCTCCAGCTGCCTTTCTTACACCCCAAGTCTTTTTACATTTTAAAGCTAAATACTATCTTTTGAAAATGGACCGCCAGATTTTTTTTTTTATTTCTCAGAGCCTGATGTTTCGTCCCATGTTCCGAGGTGTCATGACGCTGGTAAGTGGCCACAGCAGAATCCTAAGTCTCGTCTGTCTGAATCAGAAGCCCTTCCACTCTTTTGAAAAGAGGGGAGTGGAGTCTGGCCAGAGTTTAAGACATTCAGCTGTCTACTCAGAAAAGCAGCCCCCACATTTTGTAAGGTCTAAGAAAAAAAAAACAATATAACTGGCAAGAACTTCAGGAATCATTCCATCCAAATTCCTCATTTTATTGGATAAAGGACTTGGCAAAGCAACATGGTTAATATTTACTTAAGAGATATTTGGATAGAAAAAAAAGTACATTTGCTCTTGTGGGTACATACAGAGTCTAAGAGCTTTCAAATATTTGGGTTCAGGCAGGGTAAGGAGCAAAACCAGCCTTCTGGCTGCAGGCCCACCCTTCCCTCAAAAGTTGATGTGTTTAATCTACCCAAATTCCGCACTATACATCAAGAGTTTACTTAATGTTTTGCTTTGATACGAAAGCCCAAATCGGTGAGCATTAAAATTACCTTCTTTTCCCAAATTTAAAAAATATATTGCCAAACTGGACCCTCATTTTGATATGAAGAGAATGGGTAAAATGTTAGAAATGCTTGTTTATAGATACCACATGAAAGGTCTTAGAAATAATCTCAGAGAAGCCAAAAAGCAAAACTGAACAGATATTCTTGGAAGTGTCTTTTAAATTTCAAATGAACAAAGTCTAAATATTCAGTGACATGCTGTAGATCAGCCTGAAGAAGTCTATGCACATGATAACTTTTAAGATGATGCAGAAACAATAGCATTACAGGACTAAAATAATGATAAATGGCATGAATTTCATAATTTCAACATTATAAAATCATAAAAAATATAAAAATGCACATCAGGGACGTGCATAATATCTAAACAGGAAATAGGATAAAAAAATATGGTGATTTTTTTATGACAGGGTATTAATTTTATTAGCCATCACATTATATCACTAATAGCTAGAATTTATCAGATGATTGCTTTATTAAGTGCATTACTTAATATTGACAAAAAAAATTCATGTTAGAAAATTAGTATTAGAAATCACTCTTCATGAAGAAACTGAGAATGAGAGAGATTAAGCAAATTCCCTGAGGTAAGAATGCAACAGGTTTCCCAGTCCTTGCCTGAATTGAAGTTCCTAAGGAATAATAATGATAATAATAACAATAACAACTAACAGTTAGGTGGCACTTAGTGGGTGCCAGGCTCCTAAGTGCTTTACATTTACTCAAATTGGTCCTCTAAGTTGGCTACTTATTATTCTCTTTTGTACATGAGGTAACCAAGATCCCCCAGTCAGTCAGTGGCCAAATCAAGGTTCGAACTCAGGATCAGAACAGTCCAGCTCCAATGTTTTCAGGCTCAAGTGTTTACTGCCCTGGTCCCAATGCTTTGAGGAAATAAGGAAGAGAAGACAAAGAAAGAAAAAAGAAAATGAAGAAAAATTAAAATGATTTGTGATAAGTCTAGACCAACTTCCAATGTTGCAGTCTGAAAGAATGGGAGAGAAATAAGTGCTTTTATTGGCTAAGAAGGGAGGTTGATTTGAACATGTTAAATTTTAGGTAAGTGTGAGATATTCAAAGTGGCATATTCAGTTGGCTGTTGGGAAACCTGGGCGTGTTATAGTTAATGTGAAAATGACTAATACTTAGACTGAAACCTCTAATTCTTGATTCTCGATCCGAGAGAGAAAAACTACAGAGAAGAGCAGTGTTTAAGAAAACGGGCAATAAGAAGTGAAGAGATGAAAAACAGCAATTGGAAAATTACATGGAAGATGAAAGAACAGTTATAAAGAACTCTGAGCAGGAAGTCAAGAGGAAAAGACTCCGAAAGAAAGCACCAAACTTGGTTCCCAGAGGTTCTTTATGCCACTGAGGGAGTGGTGGGCCTGCAGCCAGAAGGCTGGGTGACCAGACGGGAGAGGATGCAGAGCTACTCATTTGGAGGAGTTTGTCGGTGACCTGAAGGAAGGAAGGAAACAGGAAGCAGCTGGAGGGAAGACTGGAAGCTGTAGAGGTCCCTTCGCAGCAGTGAGTAATCTGTGCAACTGAGGCTGTTGAGAAAGCTCTAGTAAGAATGGAGCTTCTGTTGGTGCTGGAGAATGGGCAACCTGTGGAAAAGGGGCCCCCAGTACTGCAGGGCCTGGTGGAGGCATTCAGATTTCTAAAGTGGAAATGCTTTATGTGGGGCAACTGGAAGGAAGAGGGGATGAGTATAAATGAGCCTTAAAAGAAACACAGAGAAATGTCCCACAGCTGATTTACCTGTCATTTCTCCCTGTTTACCCATCTGTAGTCTGCTCTATGCTGCTGGGGTTTGTGATTCTACAGACTCAAGTTTTCCAGACTCTTTTGACATCTGGCTTTGCTAATGGTTTTGCCAGTGAGAGGTACGAGAGCGCTATGAAAGCAGGAGGAGGGAAGAGAGACCTGTCTTTCAAGTTCCCATTAGTGTCACTCCATTCACACAGTTGGCTCTGGCACCAGCCTTGCTCCACCCCCACAAAAGGATCAACACACCTGGGTCATGCTCTCTTGGTAGAGTAAATACGAGATTTGATATTTGCTTTTTGGGCAACCACAGGTTATAACCTTTCATGGGAGACCTATGGCCCAATCCCCTACGGCCTTTTCTCTGACATCGTAGTTCTGGTGACCCCACCACTATCTTGTTTTCTTCCACTTCATGTTTTTAATGTTCTGAGTCACCTCAATATGCCCTTTGTAGTCTTTGAGGCTTCTAATGTGTCTATAATCGATTTTCTGTATCAGATCCACTTGGTTGAAAGCACAGCATTTTTCTCCTTCCTTACTGGGCACGCTGATGTAGTTCTTGGCACGGGTAGTGGCCTCAGAAGCAGACCCTTGAGTAAACATACATGTTCACACAAATTGAGTTGATGTCTTTTTAATGGCTATATTTTGGTGAAATACCATTGAAGCAAGTAAGTTAATGGGATTTGAGAAGAAAAGATGGAGAAGAGTCAATAAGGGGGAAACCAATAGAGAAGACTAGCAGGGCCCAGTTGCCTAGTTGCTTAGATTTGATAGATCCCGGCTCTGAGTGTTTTACCCACCCCTCCCTTTGCCTTCCTGTAGAAGTTTTCCAGAGCACTTCCAAGGTGTTTTAAATCCTAAGTGATATAGTCACTAAAACATGTAATCCCAGTCACACATACCTACTTGTACAATGCTATGAAATTTGTCTTAAAATTTTTTATTTCTATTGTATTTTGTAAGTCCTAGACTCCAGCTCTTTCATTGTGTTCCTCATTTTCTAATTTTTGACTTTTCTAGTTCTCATTTTCATTCTGCATAATTATAGGCAAAAATTTTTTTCTATGAAGATTCTCATGAAAACAGCAAAATTTGTTTCTCATTTTTCCCTATATTTATTCCTTTATAAAAAGCACAACTTTCAACTTTTAAAACTTATTATTTTATTTAGATGTTTATCTCCACAGTTCTAAATGGCATGTGTATTTTGCTTTTCTTCTGGCATTTCTATGACAAGGATTTGTGGCAGTCACTATTAGAAACAGACCCTACTTCTCTTCCATTTCCTAATAACATACTAGAAACATCTACATTAGCATGACCATGAAAAGGCTCATACAGATTCGTCATGTCATTTGCCATGAATTTTTTTCTCTTTACCTGAAAACTTTTGGTTTTCTGTAGATTAAATATTGACTTAAAATTTATCCCCATTTAAAAAAAAATATTTATAACTAATTCAGTTCCCAAAGCATTGCCAGTTGGCAAGTTCCCTCCCAAGGCTTGCACATGTCAAGTATCCTGACAATTCTCCTTTAGAAAAATCTTTTCTGGAACCTTGGGTGTTTCCTATAAAACCAGATATACTCTCCTTCAGGGCACACCTGCTGTGTTGGTTTCCTATGAGCTTTTCAACACATTATTACAAACTGCATGGCTTAAAAACACAGGAGTTGATCCTTGCTGTTCTAGAAGCCAGAAGTCTGAAGTCAACATTTCCAGGATAAAAACAAGACTCAGCACATCAACGCTCCCTCCAGGGGCTCCTGGAAAGAATCCTTTCCCAATTGCCTTTGCCAGACATTCTGGCTGTATTCCTTAGCTTGTGGGTGCATCACTCCAATATCCTCCTCCTCTTCCTGTTTTTCTCTCTTTCTTCCTTCTTTTAATTGTCTTTTAGAAGCTTGTAGGATGTTCTGTTTATTCCTAGTAGTCTCAAATTTTATTTTATGGGTTTTTTTTTTTGGTAGCAGGGGAAGGGGGGTACCTGGCCCTGAGAATTAAGTTCCCATAAACAAACCAATTGGAGAAAAGCATATAAATGTATTTAATGAAAGTTTTGTGTGGCACTGAAACCTACATAAGGAGACAAAGGCTCAAAGACACAGAATTAAATACTTACATGCTAAATTGAACAGAGTTAAATTATAAAAATGTGACAAGGCAAAGGGGCTTGGAATAAGGTAATTAATTGGTTAGAGAAACGATTGGTTCTGTGTATAACCACCTATCTTTTCTATTCATTTATCTAGGTAGTTAAAGAGCTAGCTAAGTAGACCCTATTGGTCCTATTTTTCTGGAGAACCCTGACTAATGCAGAAGGTAATCAGAGTAAAATCCAAACTCAAATCCAGTTCAGGTGCTAATAAATTTGATGCAACTTCTAATATTAATGGTCTGAGAGAAAAAAAAAATGTATCTTCTCAGCATGAACAATAAATATCTCAATCTCTGTTGTTCTTCTATTCAAGATGTTTTGCATTCAACAAAAATTATGATCCAAAGTGAGAAAAATACCACTTATGAAGAGATAAGTCAATCAGGAAAACAGGCTTAGATATGCCTCAGATATTTAAATATCAGAGAAAGCTTGAATGTAATTGATTAACAGGTTAAAATATCTAGTCAAAAAGGTGGACAACACCTAGGAACAAATGGAATTTCAAAAGGGTGATGGAGACCATAAGAAGAGTCAAATAGAAATGCTAGAAACTAATTTAAAAGCCATGATATTTTACAGGTGAGGGATTCCTTTGTTCATAGCTTTATGAACACACTGGACACAGCTGAGGAAAATCACCTTAAACTGGTCAGTAGATGTTCTACAAAAAAAA